TTGTTCCTTCCAAGAATTCGGAACGATGGGGCATATTGAGGATGCCGCCTATAACTCAGAGGGCATTTTGTTGGCACGCCACACAAACCATTTCTATGGGTGGCTCCGTAAAACTGCGTCCACTGCTTCCCTTCAAACCCTGCATCCAGCAGGAGGAAAAATCAAATTTTCTGTAAGTGAAAACTCTCAACCACTCTCCGAAAAAGCGGAATTTAGCAGGTCTACAGGGTTCGCAGGTTGCGACACCGAAAGTGCCGGTCAAGCGTCCTATACGGACGTTAACGTACGCATAAGCAGTGACATCGCTCCCAAGGCTTTAGAGGAGGGCTATCAGAATCACTCGACAGTACATGTCGAGTCCAACACCACCACCCTCCTCAATTCTAGGCCTTCTTTCCCAAACTCTTTATCGCACTCTCCTCTCTTTTCGAGAGGTCAAGTGACGAAGTAGCTCTTACGTGCATGTATGCGAACTCTCTGAGTTTGTTTAATAAGTTACTGGAAATCAGACAGCTAACTCATGGCAAACAACCACACAATTTTGCTATCACGGTGACCTGGCTTACGTGTGACATCAGTGACAGTGAACTGAGTGTCCCAGTTTACCGAGCTGACTCCACCCAAGGGAGAATGGGGGGTCCTGCGGTTTCCCTTCAGCATTGTCTCCCAACACCCACGGTTGTTAGTGGATTTCATTCCTCTGATAAACGTGATGCTCTGTGGCCTCGATTGGCTTTGCGTGACCGAGACTCACTCCCAGTGGGGGTCATCTATCGTCCTCCCTCGTCTGACGTCTCTGATGACGACGCTCTTCTTGTAAACCTAGAAAACTTCCTAAGCCTACAAAACTTTACTCTTTTATAATAATAATAATATATATTTCTCAACGCATTTGTTAGAAACACGCTCGGATTTGCGCGATCATGACAGATAATTACATGGGTTACAAAGCAACAAATGAATATATAACAAAGCAAACATGAACTCCGTTGACAAAAGAAGAAGTAATCCAAGGGTAAATAGTAACAGTTTACAACGTTTGAATTGCACGTAAAGAAAGAAGATAGTTCACCTGTTCCACAGATTCAGCACAAAAGATGAGATTTTACATTAATTTATCTTTTGCAAGGTTAGGTGAAAACGACGTTTCAAATATTTTTGGTTCAAGCCGTGAGATACGTGCAAATGCATCTGCGAAGGATTTCGTCGTTATTTGGCGTAACTTCAATCGGAAAAATGCTGGACTAATTCATTTTGGGCGAGAGAGGTCGGAAATTTTCAAAATCTGGCGAAGATTTGAGCAGACTCCAGCGCAGGATGTTGGTGATTGCTAGAAAACGTCACAGGTTGAAAATCTTGCTAATCGCTCGGCCAATATGGGGTGTTCAGCGCCCATTTATCGCAAAAATTTTCCTTGCATTAAGGATGCGCGTGAGAATGAGCAAAGGAAAGCAACGACATGTGTTAAAAGGGAACATGTGAAGTAATCGCATATAATATGAGCACTAATGTAAATGTTATTTATTTCATACAAAAACTTCACGCGATATTAATATTGTTGTGTTTTTCCAATAAAGTATATAAACTTGGCAAGTAATTGTTATAATATTCCGCGATAATTGGGTAACCAGCAGCTAATTCTAGAATGATTATCATGTGATGATCAAAACTTCGTACGAAGTTTTGACGTCAGTTTAATTAAAAGGATCAGTGTTTAAGCTAGAATATATATTTCATTGCACACAACAGTTAGTAATGGTCAACGAGAAGGTGTGATGAGGGGGAGACAACGCACGATGGGAAATGGGGTTATAATAATAATAATAATAATAATAATATATTTCTCAACGCATTTGTGAGAAGCACGCTCGGAGGTGCGCTATCATGACAGATAATTACATGCGGTGCAGAGCAACAAATGGATATATAACAAGACAAACATGAAATCTGTTGACAAAAGAAGCCGTAATCAAAGGAGAAATAGTCAAAGTTTACAATGTTTGATTCACACATAATGAAAGAAGGTAGTTCGTCTGTTCCACGGACTCAGTCCAAAAAATGAGATGTTACATTAATTTACTTTTTACAAGGTTAGGTAAAGACGACGTTTCAAATATTTCAAGGTCAGGCGGGGAAATACATGCAAATTGATGTTCGATGGATTTCGCCGTTATTTGACGTAATTTCATTCGGATAAATGTTGAACTAGTTCAGTTTTGGCGAACGAGGACGGGAAGTTCCAAAATCGGGTAAAGAATTGAGCGGATTCCAGCACAGGACCTCGATGATTGTTGGAAAGCGTCAAAAAGTTGAAAATTTCACTAATAGCTCGGCCAATATGGGGTTTTGAGCGCCTATTCATCGCGAAAACCTCCTGCATTACGGATGCTCGTGGGAATATGGAAAAAACCGCAGTCATGTGTTAAATGGGAAAACGTGAAGTAATCACATGTTATATGAAGACTAATGTAAATGTCATATTTTTTGACAATAACTTTACGCGCTATTAATGCTTTTGTGTTTTTCCAATAAAGTATATAATATTTGGAAATGATTGTTATGGCATTCTGCGATAATTGGGTAACCAGCAATTAGTTCTAGACTGATTATCACGTGATAGTCAAAACTCCGTCCAAAGTTTTGAAGTCAGTTCGTTTTATAGGGTCAATGTTTAAGCTAGAATCTATATTTCATAGCCTACAACAGTTTATAATAGTCAATTACGAGGGGTTAAATGCAGGGGCATAGCACACGATAGGCATTAAGGTTTCAGTGGGTTTTTTATGTATTTTTGACATCAGTTTGTTTTATAGGGTCAATGTTTAAGATAGGATATGTAGTTCATAGCACGATTTAGTTATGGATAATGGATAATGTGGAAGGTTTGAGGCAGGGGAGACAACGCATGATGTGATTTAGGGTTATGATTAGATTATATACGGTATTCGAGGGAGTATTTTTTCCCCACGGTTTTATGTGGAGAGTTTTTGTATGCCAGCCAAGTTAGCCGTCAATACTGGCTACCATTAATTATAGTCTAACTGATTACCAAGGTGAATGGGTTAATACGAAAAGACATATAAAATGTGGAAAAGTATATATGTGAGATATAAGGTAGAATATGTATTTCATATATAAAATGTTGAACAGTATATATATATGAGATATAAGGTAAAATATGTATTTTATAGCACGACACAGTTACTGATAATGGATAATGGGGATAGTTTGAGGCAGGGGAGACAACACATGATGTGAAGTGAGGTTATAATAAGATTATATACGGTAAACGAGATTATATAGATTATATAAGGTAAACGGGGGGGTATTTTGGTTCCATGGTTGTCTGTTGGAAGTTTTGTAGGCCGGCCAAGTTAACCGTCAACACCTGCTACTATTAACTATAGTCTCATTGACTGCCAGGGTAAGCAGGTTATTACGGATGGACATATATATAAAATGTAGGAAAGTGCATATGTGAGATATATACCTGTTTTTTCTTTTTTTGTTCTAAGTAAAACTCTATTTAAGTGACGCACATGAATAAAGCGATGCGGTTTGATGAGCGCGTAATGAATCAAATGCGATATGGGGTGTGAGTAATCGGCGGATACGCAGTAGACAGTTAAAGGCATGCTATTTTAGATGGGAGCATGATGGCTAAATGTTCTCCAGGCCACATTCAACAAGGTGATCAGGATATACACACAGTGTGAAGATAGACATTATGCTTCATAATGTGAGGAAGCTGTTTAAACCTTTTTTACAACGCTGAATATTGTTACTGGCTCTGATTTAATTCAGAAGTCAATTCCAAATATGTGAATATTTTACAATAAACAAGTTGGCTGGTATCTTTATCCGAGCTAACAGAGTTGGCGAAGTGGAACCCTTATTTCTTAGACCATATGGGGAACCGCGTTCGAAATGTCTGTCTTGTTAATTCATTTACATTATTGATGTGTTGTACAGTTATCGATTACATGTTTGGTATGCATCTGTGCGTATCGCGCTGCAATGTATACAATGATCATTGTTACGCTCAATGAGTCACACATGACAATCTCCCCTATCCGCCTCTCTAGGCGGTTCAGGTAAATAGTCTGCAACTACATCAGAGACATTTGGCCCTCAACGCAACCACCAAGTGGATTAATTCGGGCCATCAACAAGTCTGCATTTACAGGCAACATGGCAACCAAACCCGAACACCCCAACGATACCGCAGTTACGCATATACCACAAGACGTCATCTCCGATACGCTACACAGAACTAGCGTGGTCAGCTAATTACACTGGAAAACATACGCCAGCTGTGAACCGCAAGCTAGCTAACGAGTTACCTGTCACTGCTGCCACACAAAGCAGCGAGTGCTCTGTGAGTCCGGTTCAACCATAGCAGTCAGACAGTAGTGCCGGTCGCCGCGAGCATTCTGAGAATGTGAACTGGCCAGCAGGTCCGACAAACAATGTGGCGCACTTCCCTTACCTCAGGGAAGAGACCCCCTCATCGATGGACGAACCCAGTCATCCACCGCACAGAGTTGTACTCAAATCGGATATCCAGTCACCCAGACGAATGACATACGGTTAACTGCTCAAGCCCGGGGTAAGGCGCCGCCAGCCGACTGTTTATGCAGTCCAGTACGAAAACTGGTAAATGTCGGGCAGTCGACCAAGTCAGATAGGCCGACCCGAGCCACTTGAATGGTGTCAGATGGAATAAAGTGAAACAAGCGGGAAGGTGGCTGAGCCGTAGCTCGCTTTGTCTTACCAGTCATTAAGCTTAGCACTGTCCATGAGGGCAGCACAACCGGCTACTCCCGGGGTGGACTGACCGTTCGGAAATACCAAGCGAAACAAAGAGCACCAGATAGATAGGCACCCTACTGCGAACATAACTAACTATACTCAGGCACACGGGTGCGCCAATTACAGCTGGAACAAACGGCAGAGGAGAAAGGCTCCACACGAGATGGGTCAGGTTGCATTTAACGAGTATGACTACCAGTTGAAGATACTTGTCCCTTTGTTCGTTTAGGCATTTTACTTCCTCTGAATGATCAAGTATGGTCGTGATCACAGCGCTGGCCGAGCTGCCGAAACAACTAAAATGACACTAATGTGGGACCTTGATAAACCATTCAATCGGTAGTAGCGAGGGACGGTTTGTACAAAAGGGAGGGATGTAGTCCGCGCAAGCTTATAACTTGCACTTAAAGCAACTTCCTAGTTCACGGGGAACAGTTGCAACCACCGATCCCATTCATGACGGGGATGACCCAACTTGCTCAACCCTTTCGGCCAGATTGTCAGACTTGTTGAAATCGTCATTGTAACGCACGTGCAGCCCCAGGCATCTAAGGGAACCACAGACTTGTTGTTGCTCATTTTTGTGAGACTGTCACTCCGCTTGTCCCTCTAAGGAATAAAAACCTGCTAAGCACCCGTAGGCGAACGGCACAACCACCACGGAAAAAGCAACCAGCATCACCACCCACACGGACACAGAGGACAGGCATACTATTTAACAGGCCAAAGTCTCGTTTGTAATCGGTATTTGCCAGATAAATCGCTCCACCAACTAAGAACGGCCGTTCACCACCGACCGCAGAGTCAACAGGAAATCTTTCCACCCCTCAAGCTTTACAGCGTCCACGCAGGGTGAGATTTCCTGAGTTTAGTCAAATTAAGCCAATGAGTTGTCTCATTGTGGTGCTCTTCCGTCAATTACTTTGAGTTGAACCTCTGCAACTACACATCCCTCGGAGCCCGAAGACTCAAAGGTTACCCGGGAAACGCCCGCTGGAACTGGACTGTCGGTCGGTCGGAGATGAGAAGGTATTTAAGCGACTTTGAACATCTGATTTGCGCTTCAGTTCAATGAAAACGTCCTTAGCAAATGCTCCTGCCGTAGTTTATTTGGCGGCGATCCAAGAGTATCATCTCTAACACCGCTATAAAAATGTCCTCTTCTGCCCCTCATATTTATTACTTCTTGTCCGGAAACCAACAAAATAGAACAGAAGTCTTATTCCATTATTCCACACAAAAGTTTTAGACAAAAAGGCCTGCCGTGTGCATTCAAACTTGTTCAAAGTGAACATATTCTTTAACTGCAACAACTTGACTATACGCTTCTGGGGCTGGAGTTACCGCGGCTGCCGGCACAGCCTTGCTCCCAGCTGACTCCTGTTAAAGGATCTAAACGGTCTTCATTCGAATTACATAGACTCCGTTGGTTCCCGCCTTAGTAGTTATTGTCACTACCACCCCGGGCTGGGATTGAGTAGTTTGCATGCCTACTGTGTTCCTGGGAAATGGTAGCCGTTTCTCAGGCTTTCTCTTGGGAATCAAACCCTGATTCTTCGCTACTCGCTATCACCATGGCAGGCAGGTCACCTACGATCGTAAACTGATAGGGCAGGAATTTGGAAAATATGTCGCCGACACAAGATCGATGCATTTAGTGAAGTTATCCAAAATCGTCACAGAGTACAAGGAAAGCAGCAGAAGCCAAAAAAGTTCGGTTCCCTTTCAATAAACCCGCCTGTTCCCTCACGGGTCAGGGCATAGTGGCATGTACTAGCTAAATAAGTACTACAGACATAGAGGACTATAGGTGCATTATTTACGATCTAAGGAACCACAGGTGTTTTATTAAGCCATTCACGGTTTCACCGTATCGCGGTATGTGCGTAGATATGCACGGCTCAATCTCTGAGACATGCGTATGACTTCTCACAGAGTCAGCCAGATTATTCACACTCAACTGACGTTTGAATGTCAAGAACTCTCTGTAGTTTCCAAGCGTCATCCTCACCTAGGCCTTTGCCCACAGTATATTCACTTTTATGACACCAGTATTACTGGGAACGACCACATGTAAAGAATAAGCACTCTTGACGCAAACACATACATGTGTGGACCACTAGTAACATTTCTATTGGCAGAACTAGTTCGCTCAGCCGAAGACTGCCAATTGATGCAAGGTATCTACCATATAAACATTGTCGGATCGGGCATCAGTACCACCCGTCCAACGCACAGCACAAGTCAGCCGGCTCAACAAATTCAGAGGCAATGCGTCATGCTAGACATGTGTGACAAGTAATTTGTCTGACCTTACCCAAAAACTATGCACTTGCTCACATTAGAGCGAGTAATATAACCCTTTGACCCGTATTATGGGCGCGTCCACACTAACTTGACCACAAACACCCCACAACACCAGCAGCCGGTGAATGACGAAACAGACCCTAGCCAGCATGCTCGAGATTAAACCGCTGCTCCACTCGATGCGTTGTATACCAAGAAGATAGGAACTTGCAACCAACTTGTAAAGTAAATGCCACCGCTTTTTTCGGCCGATAGTTTGTTATGAGGCGCGTATAAATGGCACAACTTTAATTTACATTTCGCTATAAGGTGATCGTACATGTTCACCATAATCAATCTGTACACGACGGTCCGCTGGTTGACGGCATCCGAAACGGACTAGCCTGTCACAGTGACCGAAGCCGAAGGACGCATGCGTTTTAAACCGTCTCCCCAAGTGGCTTGCGCTGCACCACTTGCGGTCTCACTCACACACCACGCATCCGTTGTGAACTCGAAGGAATAAGACCTGTAGGTGTGTGAGTGAGGCCTTTGCGTCCAGCCGGCCAACGCTGGTTAGCCAATTGAATGGCTAGCACGAAAAGGAAACCCTTATCTCTCGAAAAATAAACAGTGAGAGACTGCAGTGACAAGATCTATACTAGGAAGAAAAATGTGTAAAATGTAATACAAGAAGAATTTCAGTATACGAGTGCATGTTAATGCATTCTAGAGAGGATAAAGTCGAAAAACAAATCTCAAAGTTGAACTACGGAAAGACCAAAAAGACAATTCATCATTAAGCACACCAAAAAAGCCCAAGAAAGGAATAGGCAGATCACACACACAAGTTTCTGAAAAGAAGAGCGGATTAGTAGCCAAACGACCACGAACTTGGTCGATGCAATAGTTAACAGAAGTAGAATAGATATGCTGATATGACCTACCGGCAATTGTGTAGTTCGCCGGTATGGTGGGTCAAGGCCGAAAGGAGTTGGAAACGGCCATTTAAACGCGGAAATAGATTTTCCAAATGCTTCATGAAATACTAAAATGCACATTACGAGACAAATATATAGATTTCATTGAGTATGCTAGTGGTGTTGCAATAAAAAATATCAGATGTACCTAAAACTTGCCCATATTTGCACTTCTGTTAAAAAAATGTGTGGCCATTTTTTCGACATAACCGAGAGCGATTAGTCAACTTCGCAACGGGAAGGCTGCAGGTGAAGATAGATTGCCAGGCGAGATCCTAAAGAATGGCAGGCTGGCGATGGAACGCGCACTGCTCCAGCTGTTTCACTCCATTTGGGAACAGGAGGTGATGCCACAAGATTTCAAGGATGCTGTGGTAATACCTTTATTCGGAGGTGAGCGTAACAAGCAATGTCCCGACAGCTATCGGGGCATCAGTCTGCTGAGCTGCGCAGGCCTGGTGCTTGCCAGAATCCTTCTGAACCGGCTGAACACGGATGTCTTAGGGGCCAAGGTTCCTGAGGAGCAATGCGGATTCCGAGCGAGTCGGAGTACGATTCACTTAGTGTTCGCTACTCGACAGCTTCGAGAGAAGAGAAGTATTGGAAAAACACAAAAATATTAATATCGCGTAAAGTTTTTGTATGGAATAAATTACATTTACATTAATGTTCATATTACATGTGATTACTTCACGTTCCCTTTTAACACATGTCATTGAGTTCTTTTTCTTATTCTCACGCGCATCCTTGATGCAAGGAAAATTTTCGCCATGAATGGGCGCCAAAAAATCTCATATCGGCCGAGCGATTAGAGAGATTCTCAACGTTTTGATGTCGTCGTACAGTCCATGATTCCCTCGATGGAGTCTGCTCAATTCTTTGTCAGATTTTTGAACTTCCCGTCTTCCCTCGCCCAAACTGAATTATTCCAGCATTTTTGCAATTGAAGTTACGCCAATTAACGACAAACCATTTCGAAGATAAATTTGCACTTATTTCCCGGTGTGACCTAGAAATATTTGAAACGTCGTGTTCACGTAACCTTGTAAAAGGTAAATTAATGTAAAATCTCACTTTTTGGACTGAATCTGTGGAACAGAAGAACTATTTTATTTCCTAATGTGTAAATCGAACACTTTAAACTGTGACCATTGTCCCTCTGATTACGTCTTTTTTTGTCAACAGACTTCATGTTTGTCTTCTTATGTATCCATTTGTTGCTTTGTATCGCATGTAATTATGTGTCATGATCGCGCACATTCGAGCGTGTTTCCCACAAATTCTTTGAGAATCATCTACATATAATCGTAATTATAATTATAAACCTTGCCGACATTAGATACGTGGAGTAACGACGAAATCTGGGCAAGTATTATCATCCTCCGCTTGAAAATGTCTTGAGAGTCTACCGTACGCAATCAGTCGCAGCTTATCTAACCCCTAGAAAATCAACACCATATTATTTGTGTGCGTTACTCTGCACGCATTACTCAGAATACAGGAATATGTTATATTGAAGCTTATTAGTAAATTCAGCAGAATGATCTTATATAGAATTATATTTAGATTATGTACACAGAATAACAAGTTGATGATTCATATATACATTTTCCTCACACATAAAGATATGCACATTTGTAACAATCTGTTAATCCTGGTAAGTCTTCGGACTATAACTGATGGCAGCCGGTATTAACGGCTTATTGATTAGCAAACGAAAACTCCCCAAAGAAACTTTGGAAAAATTCCCCTCTCGTATACCTTACACAATCGCAATAAAACCTCGATTCACACCTTGCGCTGCCTCTTCTGCCTCAAATTCTCCTTGCCGACCACTTAGCAACTTTTGCGTGTTATGAAACCTGGGTTTCAGTTTACACATCGGCCCTATAAAGCAAAATGACCTGAAAATTCAGCACTGAGTTTTGATTATCACATGGTGATCAATCTAGAAGTAGCTGCTGGTTACCCAATTATCGCGAAATACTGTAGAAGCCACTTGACAGCGTTATGTATTTTATTAACTGGCACAATAATATTATTGGCGCGTGAAGTCGTTAGTCAAAAAATACATATACATTATTCGTCATACCACGTGTGATTGGCCCGCTCCTTCCAAGCCAACACGTGAAAGCGCGCTCTTTTTCTTACATCCACAAACATCCGTTATGTAAGGAAATCTTCTGCGACGAGTTGACGCACAAAACCCCGTATTGACCGAACAATTCGCGAGATTTTAAACCTATGGACTGTTTTGGGTAACCCATGAAGTCCTGCGCTGTAGTCTGTTCAGTTGTGCGCCAGATAATTGAATTTCCCGTTCTATCTCGTCCAAGCCGATTCATCTCAGATTTTTTACGGTAGCGTTCATACCAAGAACTGGCAATGTCCCCTGACGATATATTCTCGCTTCAGTATACCCGTTGAGAGGAAGAACGAGCGCTCGCAAATTAACGTTCACCAAAAACACGTTACACCAATACGATAGTTTAAGGAGGGTTAGAAGCATTCAGGGATATTATGTCATGTTTCAATCAATTGGTTTCTCCCCAGTTGAGGCTTCTTATTCAGAGACTTCGCGGACCTCAGAATCTGCAACGCAAGGGTGGAAGGGAGCGGTTTATAACTTTTGACGTGCGTCCCCTCGGCTTCAGTTTCACTTAACAGGACATATTTCACAACGTGACGTTGAACTATTTGAGACATCGGCCTATACATAATCTTGTAAAAAGTAAAGTAATGTAACGCTACTTCCCTTGGACTGAATCTGCGAAACATGCAGACTAACTTATTTTCTAGTACACTCATGAAAGTTTTTTAAACTGCGATTCTTCTCCCTTGGATTGGACTTATCTTTGCCGACAGATGTCATATTTATTTTATGGTATAATTATTTATTTATTTGTATCGTCCGTAATTATCTGCGATGGTCGCGCTCACCTGAGCCTGCTTCTCACATTTGCGTGAGAAAATAAGCAGTATTATTAGTATTATATAGTTAAGACTTCTTACTTTGTGTGCAGAAAAATGCTGCGTAACCACACTCCAGTCTGGAACGAACATAAGACCAGAAATGCAAACGAAAAGACTCCCTGGACACCTTGGCAATAGATCAGCAGTTTGTCTCAAACACTTACCTAGCTTTAACGCAAATCTGTGTCTTGTGAACCTGTTTTCTGGGGTGTCATATGAGAAATACCCCTAGGTCTCGTTTGCTACTGCATTGTTTTGACAAATGCACCTGCGGACATGATCCACCTCAGTATTCCTGACATCCCCCATGTACATGAAGGAGCATTTCCATGGATTCAGAGGTAGGCTTCACTGAAACGTTTATCTTGATGTCGTGTTTAAGTCTTGTTGCAATATTTATTATTCTAACCTAAAGAGATGGTCCCCGACACGCGCTTAAGTCACCAGCGAGGACGAGGGCGAGCGACTGTGACTGTTTCCGCGGGCTGTTAATGAAAATTAAAAACCAAGGACCGGAGTACTGACCTTTGTGGGCTACCCTAGGGTCAGGAATTCAGTCCGATAAGTGCTGATTGCCCCTGACTGCTGATAATAATGTATTCCTCAACGTATTTGTGAGGAACACTGTGGTGACCGTCACTAAGCCTATTTCTCATTGCTGTTGTTTTATTACATTGCTGACTATAAGTTGTACAATTGCGCTCGAGG